GCTGATGGGGCAGGAAGATGTGGGTGGGGGTTTGCTCATGGGGCAGGAGGACGTAGGTGGGGGGGGTTGCTGATGGGGCAGGGGAGCGGGCAGCAGGAGCTGGGCATGGCGCACCACTGGCCTCACCATCCGCCTCACCGTTGGGCTCCGGCCTCAGGAGCACGCAGGCTGGGGGCTTGGTTACGGCCGAGGAACTGATAATTCGGTGAGTATACAGCAGCCCCCCCTCACGGTTGCTTGGTATCTCAGGGGTTTCACAACACTCTCCACATCAGTACAGTTTCATTGCCCTTGAGACGTCAGCAAAGGGGTCTTCACAGCGCACAGCCACAGGTAACTGTCAAAGGCCCGACTCCAGCAGGTTAGCAGCCATGACCGACCGGAAATCGTGTGCCTCTTCCGTTTCCTCTTAGCAGATCTAAGTAACGAGAAGAAGTAAGTTACTTAACGTGGACAACAGGATGCGAAGGACATCTCCGTCCGCTCGCGCTCCCTCGTCCCTCCTCGTAGCGAGGCGCTGGTGGTTCAGGCCGTTCTGGGGGAGCGGACACTGTAACAGTGACCGTCCTCTCTGCGCACTGTCCCGCTCCGCCTCTGTCCTGAACCTGCTCGTCGGTTGATAAACTAGAAACATTCGACTTTTCAAAAAATCCAAGCATACATGGAAGTACAGAAGATACTAGAACAAAGTTGAGGGACTTACCCCTGGATTGAGCAGACATGGTATTTTTTGCTGTTTTCTTTCAGATTTTAAAAAAATCCTCACCTGAGGATATGTTTTCATTGATTTTCAGAGAGAGGAAGGAAAGAGAAGCATCGATGTGAGAAACGTCCATCGGCTGCCTCCCGTTCGCACGCCGACCAGGGGTTGAACCCGCACCCAGGTATGTGCCGGGGATGGAACGGAACCGCCCCAAATCGTGGAGTCACCCCGGACTCCTCGCTTTCACCTCCATCCCCCCTCCAGGCCCCTCTGCCTTCGGAAGGAGTCTGAGAAGTGTCGTGCTGGGTGTGTTTTATGTCCTTGTTTGTTAACTATCATGGCTGGTTTTTTAAAACAATGACCATGTGTGAGCAAAACAACAAAAGAAACAACCTGAAGGGTCGTCACGCGCATGTGTCCCCTGCGATGGGGAGCGGCCCGGCTTTTGTAGGAGGGAGTGGGCTCCCGAGGGAGTGGGCCTGGCTGGTGACGTCAGCGCTGGCGGCGGGGAGGGGGGGTCTTAGGCTCTTCCTGGCCCAGGGGAGGCTCCGGAGGCTCAGCCAAGCAGAGCTAATAGAATTAAGGAGATGATGAAGGCGGCAGCACTGGATTATTTAGCCTAAAAGAAACCGCAGCTTAAAAATGCCTTAAGTAAGTAAAGAGGCTTTTAGGTGAAGACTGATCGGTTGTGAACCCTTTTCACAGAAACGGAGGAGAAACAGCCTTAAACCGATGAAGAGCTTCCGGAAGCGATCCTTGCCCGGGCCGACCTGGGCTCGCTCAGTCCTGGGAGCGCTACACACACGGAACACCACCTGTCCTAGGAAGTCCAGGGAGACTTTCCGGAAGGTTCCGTGGCGTTCCCATCCCATGAGGTCTTGATGAAGGTGTAAACTCACCTAATTCACTCCTGACCAGCCTCTCCTGGAGCTGAGTGTCTGGATCTTGGCCGGACCGGCCTGGGAGCGGCGGCCATCTGGCGGGAGGCCTGCCCGGGCCACTCCCCGCCCTGCGCGCACCGCCTGGCCGCCAGAGCCTAATGGAGTGTGAGTGATGCACTTCTGGCCTCTTTTCTTTGCTTAAGTGCGAGGAGTGAGCGTGCAGATTCTGAGATAACCAGTTTAGAATTTCTCTCCTCAGGGATGGTCCAGAAAAACGATCCAAATGTGAAAATAAGGCCGGGGCTTGGGGGGGCGGGGGGGCGTGTCCCTGGAGTGGACCATTGGCTGGTTGCTAAACCCAGACCCAGGAGAGCTACACCTGCCTGTGGATTTCTGTCCCTTAGAAAAAACAACCACGAAGGCTGGGCTCTCGGTCCCAGGCAGGCCATTGGCCGCTTTTGTGTCTAACAAATCGTCCAGCAGTCGCGCGCTCATTTTTAAATGCCAGCGAAGTCCGCATACGCTCTTTGAACCACCTTCCCTACCCTACCGGCCTGCTCAGTGCTGAGTTACATACATGTTGGACACGTGCTCACTTCATGTTTGTGTGAGAGACGCGGGTTTGACTTTGGGAGTGGACACTGACGGGGAGGACGGGCCAGCGCCACGCATCCACGGAAGTCCTTTTCTCCCGTGACCGGGGTTCTCCGCGGGCTGCCGTCCAGCCACGGAACAGGGTGGCGGGGCTTCTGAAGACAGTTGAACGCCATGTTCATTTCGCTCTTCTGTGTTGCTGGTCAGACCAGCTGAAGACATTCCGTAGCCCTGGGTGTTGTGGGAGCCCTGGTCACAGCCACTGGTCTTTGCGCTCTTAGGCCCGGAAAGAGGACAAGGAAAGCCTCTCTCCTTGGAACCGAGAAGGTTCCTTCATCCCTCGAGCAGGCGGAGCTTGTGACATGTTCCAAATCCTTGACTTTAAATCACATTTCTTACCGTTTTCTCACCCTAAACCAGTGATGGCGAACCTATGACACGCGTGTCAGAGATGACACACGAACTCATTTTTTTGGTTGATTTTTCTTTGTTAAATGGCATTTAAATATATAAAATAAATATCAAAAATATAAGTCTTTGTTTTACTATGGTTGCAAATATCAAAAAATTTCTATATGTGACACGGCACCAGAGTTAAGTTAGGGTTTTTCAAAATGCTGACACGCCGAGCTCAAAGGGTTCGCCATCACTGCCCTAAACCCAACCCTAGCCCTAACCCTTATATAGACAGAAGTCCCTGGCCCCTGGCCCCTGATTGGTCTGTCTGTATGCAAATGTGGACTCTAAATCCTCACAGTTTGATTGGTCCAAAAGGACTGTCTTGACTGGTCAGAATGGAGCTGCTCTGATTGGTCGATGAAGATGTTGATGAGGATATAGCTCTGCAGCTCTGATTGGATGGGGGAAGCCTCAGTTCCGTTTGCAACACAGAAGAGCAAAGTGAACAGCGTGTCCACCTGTTTTCAGAAGCCCAGCTCCTCTAGAAGGGCTGCTCAGATGACAAGCAGGCAGCCAGTCTCCTCCCCGCAGTCCTGGTGGCCAGTGTCTGGCTCTGCCCGCCCTTGTGGACGAACCCCTGTGACAAATGTAAAACTCAGAATTTGTTTGCTGGACTTTGATTTTGAATCCTAAAGCTGACCGTGCTCAAGACCAGAAAGTAAGTCAACTCACAGAATTCACTGTGGCCCGTTTAAAGCTCTCGAAGACCGGTTTCCCAGAAACAATTTTCCTTGAATAGCACCCCCCCCCCCCCCCCCCCCGAAGGCTGGCCCTTCCTGCTGGGGCCTCCGGGTGCTCCCCGCAAGGCAGTCCCAGCAGGAGCTTACATGCCATCTCCCTTCCTGGTCTACCAGCTACTGATTTTGTTTCCTTTGTTTTTAGGTGAAACAAACGCAAGTTTAAAAGCCACCTTAGAAGTAGCTCTGAGGAGCAACCGGACTAATGAACATTCCTCAAGATTCCTGGTGTGTAGTGTCTTTTTTTAAAATATATTTTATTAATTTTTTACAAAGAGGAAGGGAGAGGGATTGAGTTAGAAACACCGATAAGAGAGAAACATCATCGATCAGCTGCCTCCCACACACCTCCTACTGGAGATGTGCCTGCTACCAAGGTCCATGCCTGGGCCCTTTCAGTCTGCAGGCCGACGCTCTATGCACTGAGCCACACCGGCCAGGGCAGTGGTGTGTAGTGTCTTTACTAAGATCTGCCCACACCTGTATTGCCAGAGTTGCCTATTGCTGTTCAAAGGCCCCCTTTCCAGCCGGGCAGGACTGGGTCCCAGGGAGTCAGATCTGTTTAGCTCTTCTCTCTGCATTAACGCATCCGAGACGGCCGATCCTGAACTGGACAGAGAGCGTGTCAAATCTGGCTCCGTCTCGAACGTGTTCAATGCGCTCACTGCCTCTTGAGTCTGAAGACCTGCAGATCTGGGACGTCAGCTCTCCGTTGCCCAGTTTCCCCAGATCTTGGGCAGCGTGATCTGTCAGTTTCAAGGAGGCTGTTGACGTGTCCTACGGTGACTGTGGACTCATTCGTCTCTTTGTTTTTGAAAAGTTTTGCCCTATGGATTTGGGAACAATGCCATTCAGGACTGCATGATTCATGACTCGTGTTCTCGATGGAGTGTACCTATCATCATTATGAAATATTCCTTTCTGTGCTATTTAAAGTGATTGCTCTTCAGTTCTGCTCTTAGTAGCGCTTCCACCCCCGTGGTGTTTACGCTTGCCTGACGTTTTCCCACCTCTTCTTCTCAAGTTTTATTTGTAATTTTGTTAGGCTGTTTCTCATAAAGAGCACACAACCAACAGTGCTTTCAAACCCTATGTCAGAATATGTCATTCGTTGGAGGAATTTGGTCACATTTATTGAGATGTCTCATATCTTTGGTCTTATATTTTCATTTGATGTCTTTTTTTTTTTTTTTTTTTTTTTTTTTTTCTAAGTTCTAAATAATTGCTTTGGTCACTGTAGAGTTTTAATCATAAATATGTATGTTTCAAATAAGCTTTTTTTTTTTTTTTTTTTTACTATTTATTACAGTTTCTCCTTGCCTCCTTGTTTTTACTATCCTTACTTTTCTCTATTGGTCAAGTTGTTGTTTGTTTTTTAATTCTCTCTATCCATCTTATCCTCATCCTTTGGTAATGGGCAGTTCACCTGTGTATCTTGTTTTCTGATTTGATTTTCCTTAATTCAGAGCACCCCTGTGTCTTTCCTCAAGAATGGAACAGGGTAGTATACGTATTCACATCCTTACAAGTCCCGCAGTCTCTTTCCCCGGCCTCCCACGGGCATGGTTTGGCCAAGCTGAGGAATCTTGGACCAGAGTCTTCTCTCACCAAAGCTCTAAGCCAGCTCTAGCGCCTCAGCATTCCCGTGTTCCCCGGGAGGAGTCTGGCGCCACTGGAATTCTCTCCCCTGTTTCAATAACTTGTTCTCATTCCCGGCTAGCTAGGGTTGGGAATTTCACTAGCTGTGTCCAGGTGTGATTCTTGTTTTGCCTTTAAATTGTTATTAGTAATTTTGCTGGGTACTTAGAGTCTACATTCTGGCCCACAGATTGGTCTTTATTCATTAAGGAGCATTTTCTTCTATTTGTTTTTCAAGCTTGTTTTTCTCTTCTTCTGGAACTCTCCTATTCAATGGCAGCATTCTCCAGTATGCACTCTTCTTGAGTCTGTGCTCCCTCGCTCTTAGATTTTTATTCATGATTTTCATTCCATTGCATTTTTGCTCTGTGCTCTGATCATTGATCACTCGGATCCGTTTATTTACTGGTACCGTGCGAAAAGTTCAGGGCTGAGGGGTGGATATGAACCGTTAGCCATTGCATTTTTATGCTAATGGTTGGGGATGGTTTACACCTGGAAGCGGTGGGATCCCAGACCTTTGCGGCGAGACCACCCTGGCAAGGGGGCAGCTTCAGATGCTGTGACAATCCCAGACGCTGTTCAGTCTGACCGACCCCAGGAATGAAGCCAGTTTCTGGAGGAAGTAGCAGGGCGGGCAGTTTGGAAGTGGCGTTCTGTGACCCTCTAGCTTCCTTTGTGGGGTCACTTCCGTCCCCTGTGCGCTCCGTTGACCGTCCTGCGTGCTGGCCGTGGCCCGCCCTTGTTCTGGGCAGTGTTACCCTCGGTCCCCGGGCGAGCGTCTGCCTGTGCTCAGGAGCGCGTTCACCTTCCCACCTGCGTGAGTCCCCGCGGGGCTGTCACGGGCACGCAGGCCGGCGGCTTCCACGGGAGACATTTATGCCACAGCCCGGGGGCTGCGAGTCCACGATGAGGGTGTCGGCGGGTTTGCTTTCTCCCGAGGCCTCTCTCCTGGGCTCTGTGCTCCCGGGCCCTCCCTCTGTGCGCACATTCCTGGTGTCTCTGTGCCCCAGTTTCCTCTCCTTTTAAGGACACCGTCGGGTTGGATCAGGGGCCACGCCAGTGACCTCGGTTCACCTTCACTCCTCCTGAAAGGCCACATCTCCACACACAGTCCCGTCCTCAGGCACCGACAGGTAGGGCTTCATCATTGAATTCGGGGGACACGGCTCAGTCCCTGACACGCGTCTGGCGCTCAGTGCGGCGTGGCCTGTAGTGGATGCTCAGTGAAGGTCAGGTGCTGCCTGAGTGAATGCCCACGCTTCACTCTCTTCTGCCGTTTGACTTGGAAGCCAGTTGTGTTGCATGGGACGCCCCAGACGCTTTCTTAAGAGAAATTAAATGTCAACTATTTCTTCTTAAGTGTATATTTTATATGTAGCCAGTCATATTTTGTGTTTTGGTGGGAATACATGGTCTTTTCTTTCTCCCCCCCCCCTCCCCCAAGCCCTTCTGCTGCACGGGAAGGACATGACCCCAGGCCGGAGTCAGGTTCAGCCCGTAGTCTCAGTGGCGAACCCTCTGGATTTCTCACAACAGCTTATGTGCATCCGTCTATGGGGGTTTGAATCCGTGTTATTTCATGCAGGATTTACCTGCCTTGGGACTCTAATTCCTCTCTTTATTTCTTAGCACACTTCCTGTTTCATCATATTTATTTCCGTGCCCCGCCCCAAGCTCTGATAAATTTGAATTTTTCAAAAAGCACGGAGAGATGCACTGGACTGGTATTGCCAGTTATTTGCGGTGGCGCTTCTGACTCATGATAATGAAGAGGGGGCGGAGTTTCTCCCTTGGCTGTTGTATCCTTTCGCATCCATCATCTTTGCATCTTGCTTTCGGTCCCCGCATTGCGTTTTTGATTTCTGCAGCAGCAGTTTCGGCTCGCTGTCCAGTGGTGTGCGCGTCCACAGCGAGTGTGTGGCCGAGCACGAATGAAGGCGTCCCTTATTCAAATGCTAAATGCCCGCCTAGCGAAGTCCGCGCGTGGAACGGAGGGGAGATCTGGAGCCGGACGCTGAGATGCGCGGCATCCAGATGGCAGCTTCCCGTGACCTGGAGTGTCACTGCATTTCAGAGCCCACCATGCCGCCTCGTCAAGCAGTGTGATTCTCTTCTGGGCGTGGTCTCCAGAGCCAAGGGAAGGTCACGTGCTGGCCGTTCTGAGCCGCTTGCTGTGACCAGCACTGTCCACGCTCTGCTCTCTCCTGGCTCGTGAGCGTGGCCATCGCTGAGCCGCTCTTCCTCGCCTGCTCACTGAGCCCGAGCCGCCGGGGGCTCCCCGAGGGCGCAGACGCGAGCTGCTCCTCCTCGGCCTGCATGATGTGATCGGCACGTGGCTGATGGCATGTCTGCCCCCACTTCGGCTCGGTCCTTCCTGTGCCTGGACCTCTTCGGAGGCTGATGAGGCCGGTGGCTCTTATCTTGGAATCAGGTGTAAGGGCATGAAATGAACACACTGGGTTCTGTGCAGGGCACAATGGACTAGGCTAATGGAGAAGTCTAGGAAACCCCAAGCAGGACAAACCCGAAGAAACCCATGTCCAGACGCATCATTATCAAACATCTGAAAGCTAAAGGAAAAAAATAAGTAGGCAGAGGAAAGCAACGCGTTACTTATGGGGGAACATAATCTGATCAGCCACAAGTACCTCCAGAAAGAAACGGAACATTTCCAATGAACTTTCAACCCATGATACTATATCCAGTAAAAGTATCCTGCACGAATGAAGACGAAAGAAAGACATTTCATGTTAAAGAAAACTAGGAGACTTCATTGTCACCAGCTCTAGTGCGAGAGGAAATTCTTCAGGCAGATGGGAAATGGCACCAGAAGGGAAGTTGGAACTCACAAATGAAGAGCAAAAGAAATGATAAGTACCGGGTAAATAGACTTTTTCTCTCCCTGAGTTCTTTAAAATATGCTCGATGGTTAAAAACAGCAATGATAACACTGTCTAGTGCGGTTTTCCATGTGTGTTGATGTAACAAATATAACAACTACAGCATTGAGGAGAGAGGGTAATGGAACTTACATGGTGGGAATATATCACTTGAAGTGGCAAATATTGAATTTACATAGACTATGAAAAGTTAAGTATGTATATTTTAATCCCTAGAACACTTAAAAATTACACAAAGATATATATAATAAAAATGCACTAGATAAGTTAAAATGGAAAACTAAAAAAATGTTTAAATAACTTAAAGCAGGAAAAGGGATAATCCAATAACTAAAAGTAGAAAGACAAATAGAAAAACACTTTCCCAAATAATAAAATGGTAGACCTAAATCCTAAATAGTAGTAATTACATTAAATGTAAATGGACTAAACACACTATTTAAAAGACAGGTTGTCAGAACAGATTTTTTTAAGCGACTCAATTATATATTGTTTATAAGAAACTCCTTTTCAAATATAATGACGTAGGTAGGCGAAAAGTAAAAGACGGAAAATCTGATTCACTCATCAGAAGAAAGCTGGAGTAGCTGGAGTAACCTTCAAAGCACAGGAAGTTATCAGGAATACAAATGAACAATCAGAGTGATAAAAGGGTCAATTCATCAAGAAGATATACAGTCCCAAATGGGAATACACCAAATAAAAGAGCTTGAAAATGCATCAAGTAAAAACTAACAGAAGTAAAATAAGAAATAGACAAATCCACAATAATAGTTGGAGACTTTGACATTCCGCTCTCAGAATTGATAGAACTAGCAGTCAGGAAACCAGCAATGGCAGAGTATAGAAAACTGAAAAACAACAAACAACTTTAATTGACATTTATAGAACAATCCACCCAAAAACAACAGAATGCACATTCTCAACTGTATATGGAACCTTCACCAAGATAAACCAGATCCTGGGTCCTAATACAAATTTTTAACAACTTTGAAGAGTTTAAATCATACAAAATAGGTTCTTTCACTATAATGAAGGTAGAGTAGAATCAATAACAAGATGAATGGAAAAATTCAATCCCTTGGACGTTAAATAACACACTTCTAAATAATCCATGAGTCAAGGAGGAAGTGTCAGGGAAGCTAACAAATATTTTGAACTGAATGAATATCAAAATATAAAATTTGTAGGCTGCAGGTAGAGTAGTACTCAGAGGGAAATTTATACAATTAAAATGCTCATATTAGAAAAGAAAAAGTAAATCAATTGTCTGAGCTGCTACCTTAAGAAATTAGAAAAAGAAGAGCAAAATAAGCCCAAAACAAGCAAAAAAAAGTGTGTGTGTGTAATACTAGAAGAGTATAAATCAATGACATTAAAAATTTCAAAGACAATAGAGAAACATCAATGAAACCAAACCCTGATTCTTTGAGAAGTTCAATAAAATTGATAATTATCTAGGGAGACAGATAAAGAGAAAGAACATGAATTACCAGCATTGGGAATGAAGATGGATTATTGCTACAGACTGCTCATGAACTCGGCAATTCAGATACAATGGACCAATTCTGCAAAAAACAAACAAACAAACAAAACCCACAAACTACCCAAACTCACTCCAGATGAAATATAGGTAGGCTGAGTAGCCCCGTGACTACTTTAGAAATTAAATTTGAAATTACAAACCTTTTGTAAAAGAAGTTTCCAGGCTCAGAAGGTTTCACCGGCTACTTCTACCAAATATTTAAAGAAGAAACACAATGAATACTACACAGTCTCTTCTAGAAAACAGAATCGAGGGAACACTTCCCAAACCATTTTTTGCCGCCAGCATTACCCTGATGCCCAAACCGAAGATGGTACAATGAAAGTACAGAACAATAGCTCTCATGAGCATAGATGCAAAAATCCTCAATAAAATATCAGCATATATCCAGCAGGACACAAGCTGGCGAAGAGATGTTCAACATCCTTGACTATTAGAGAAATTCACGTAGAGTCCTGATGAGATATAACTACGTACCTAGAATGCTGAAAAGAAAAAATACAACACCAAGCACCCACGACAATGCAAAGCGATTGGAACTCCCGTGCACAGCCAGTTGGGGATGCCGAGTGTCACGGCCACTGTGGAGACCCCACGGCAGTTCCTTACAAAGCTAAACACACGCAGCATCTGACCCAACCACCCCACTCCTAGGTATTTACCCAAGAGGATGGAAAGCTTATGTTCACACTAAAGCCTGTACCTGAATGTTTACAGCAGTTCTAGTCATAATCTTCAGGAACTCAAAACAATCTGTGTCCTTCGGTGGGTGAATGGGCACCTCGCTGTGGAATACCACTCAACTGAGCAATAAAAAGGGATAAACTATTGCCCGGCCAGCGTGGCTCAGTGGTTGAGCTTTGACCTCTGAACCAGGAATTCACAGTTTGATTCCCGGTCAGGGCACATGTCCAGGTTGCAGGCTCAATCCCCAGTGTGGGGTGTGCAGGAGGCAGCCGATCAATGATTCTCATCACTGATGTTTTGCTCTCTCTCTCCCTCTCCCTTCCTCTCTGAAATCAATAAAAAAAATTTTTTAAAAGAAGGGATGAACTATTGACACACATGTTGGATGAATCTTGAAGGCATTGAGCAAACTGAAAGAAGCCCATCTTGGAAGTTCTATGTACTGTATGCTCCCATCCTGTCTAATAAAGAGGGAATATGCTAATTGACCCTCACACCATCACAAAGATGGCAGCGCCCACAGCCAATAAGGAGGGAATATGCTAATTGCTGCCCCGCCCTCAAAAATGGCGGCACCCACAGCCAATAAATAGGGAATATGCTAATTGACTACCCCTCCCTCAAAGGTGGCGGTGTCCATAGCCAATAAAGAGGGAATATGCTAATTGAGTGCCCCGCACTCAAAGATGGCAGCGCCCAGTCCCCTCAGCCCTGCCTTGCCGCATGCCTGCCTCTGGAGTCCCCCAGGCCTCCCAGCTGCCCAGGGCCGCCCGAGGCGCAGGTAACCAGGGCCACCCGAGGCTTGTGCTGCTGGCAGTGGCAGCAGCAGAGGTGTGATGGGGTGTCACCTTCCCCTGATCGCCGGGTCACCTCCTGCCCGAGGGCTCCCGGACTGTGAGAGGGGGCAGGCCGGCTGAGGGACCCCCCTCCAGTGCATGAATTTTCATGCCCTGGCCTCTAGTTTATAAAGAATAAAAACAAAACTAGTGACAGAGGCAAGTCAGCGGTTTCCAGGGGTGAGAGGATCGTGAAGACAATGTTGTAATTTTCTCACTCAAGTTCATGGACCACTTGGGAGAAGGTCTGTGGGCCCCAGGTTAGATCCCTATCCTGTGCTAGCTACTGTGTAGAAATTGTGTCTTTTTTGTTTATCCTTCAGGCTCATAGGGTGCACTGGCATGTAACAGGCACTCAACTATCTGGCGAATCAAAGAATGAATGAAAGAACAAACTTGAACATATAACAATGCACTGGGAGACTCTAAACACTTTAAGAAAAATGGACGCATTTTGTTTAATCCAATATATGGTCACTGTTGATCATTTCGAACTGGACTCTTGCTAATGACCCTCTAACGGTGCCTCTGTGGTTGAACCACTGACCAAGTTCTGCCTCGTGCTGTGGTGCCTGCTCTGTTTCTGAGCATCTCCGGCCTTCATCCCGTAGCGCGGAGGCAATGGAATATGCAGACCCGTTCTCTGGAAGCATCCGCTGTCGTCACTGGAGATGATACATGACTGACTGTCCAAAGAGTCCACATTGGAACCCGTGTTTGAGGCTTTCAGGCCCCGGGAGACAGGACTCGGTGGGTGCCGTGCTGGGATAGCAATGAGATTCTGCAGTGGGCTCACCCCTGGGGTGAGGGGCGGAGCGGGGCACGCACAGCGAGGTACTCTGGGAAATTCACAGAGACCTGGAAACTGAAGTTGGCATTGGAACCAGAGAGCCCTCCTGAGCAGCCAGGAGCAGGGCCGGCCGCTAACTCAGTCACAGAGGGCCCGGAGGTTGTGTCGACCTGAGGAGATGCTACGCTGACTGACCCCGTGTACCAGCAAAGTCCTTGGTGGCCCCGAGAGCTTAGACCCGAATAAAGGATCGGGAAAGGCTAATGCCGGATTTCATGACAGGAAGTCCAACAGGCCCTGGGTTGCAAGAGCCACGGTGATTGGACAATAAGGAAGGAAGACCGCGGCCAACAGGCTGCGAGCGGTTCCTTTGGCGACGGCCACGTCAGACCCCTTGTCGTCAGCCTTCCTCCCCCCGAGGGGTGTCTGGGAGGCCGTATCCCCGAGGGGGAGGCCCCACCCGGGCCTGACTGCGTGGGCATCTTCTTGCTGAGCTTCCTCAGGCCCGTGGCGGTTCCTCTGCAAGGAAGTGAGGACGGGCGGTCACTCCTGTGACATGTTCCCCTCACGTCCTGCGCGTCCCGCTGCGGGCCCTGCCTTTCTGAGGACAGAACAGCGCGTCGCTCCCATGCAGAGTCTCAGGGAACCTTCTGAGGACATTTCTAACTGGCAGTTCAGCTGGCAGGTGAGACGGCCGGTGTGGCTCAGGGGTTGTGTGTGGACCTATGAACCGGGAGGTCATGGTTCAATTCCCGGTCAGGGCACAGGCCCGGGTCGTGGGCTCGATCCCCAGTGTGGGGCGTGCGGGAGGCAGCCAATTAGTGATTCTCTCGTCATTGATGTTTCTATCTCTCCCCTCCCTTCCTCTCTCTGAAATCAATTATACACATATATGGGCTTGCAGGTTAAACTCACGGATGTGTATACCTCCCCGCAGTGAGGACAGCATGGACAGCTTCGACCAAACCGGCGGGTGGGCCCAGGCGACAGCAGCGATGTCATGACGGCCACTTGGCGACTGGCTCCTGGAAGGAAGGTGCCATCGACCGCACATCCAGACTCGGAGCCGCTGAGCTGTGAGCGCCTGCCTCCGAGCCGGCAGCTGCGGGTTCTGCCTCTGAGGCGTGTTCTGGGACGTCCTGTCCGCCAGGGAATGTTCCGGGGCCACACTGAGCACCGGCTCGATGACCCCCGGACCACACAGAGCTCACACTGAGCACAGAGAACGAGGCGAGTGGGGACCCAGAAGAAAGCCACCCTGTGTGAGGAGCGGGGGGCGGGGGGCTGGGATGCGGCCTCACGGGGCGGGCACAGGTGCATTGTGGTCTGAGCTGAGCCCTCTCAGACCTGCCCGTTTCTAACGAAGTCAGCATTGGCATTGTGGTCGCTGAGCGTCATTGCTGGGTCGCCAGGTCCGCCCGGGGCCGAGGAGCCTCCCCGCTGTGGGGCTTCCAGCCCTGAGACCCGCAGTCCCAGCCCCCGGCACAGTCGGTCGCCGGCAGCAGCTTCTCACTCAGTGCCCTTTTACTTTAATATTTATAACGCCGTTTCCGTGCCTCGTGAGTGATCCTAAGCCTGCACCTGTGACTCACATGTTCTCTCACTTCCTCTCTCCTGCTCTCACAAGAGCAGGCCATGGGCACATATGACTCAGTCTCATGCTCACTGCAGCTTCGCGCTCAGCAGCGCTGACTCGGCTCCCGCCTGCATGGCTGCGGGGCTGTGATGGCGGGTCAGGTGGCTTCGCGGGAGGAGGCCGCTCCTGAGCAGCCAGAGGAGAACAGGGGTGACGGGGGTGCCTGTCCACACACCCTTGGGCACTCAGAGAAGGTGAGATGGCAGGGAAGCGACTTC